ATCGGTCCATAATTTCATATACCTCCCATACAAAAGTACATATTCCCTGAAAATGAGTTTTTTGTTAATAACTTCCGTCAGAATGTTGATATCTTCACAAAATTCTATAAATTAAAATCTTATGTCAATGGAATTCATTGAGAGAAAAAATTTTCTGGATCGATCCATTATTGGACATAGCTCCCATACAAGGTCCCCTCCCGAAAATCACTTAAACGCACATAACTCCTTACAAAATATTGATATTCATACATTTAGCACAAATATTGCTCTTATATACATAAATTACACTATAAAATTGTTTTACGATCGGTCCATATTTGGTCATAGCTCTCATACTAGGTCCACAATATTCATTGCCAAATAATGATATAGATACACAATTTTGAAATTTTGTCTTTATATACATAATTGGTCATAGCTCCCATACAAGGTCCTTTTACGAAAATCTCTTAAACACACATTACTCATTACCAAATAAAGCTATTGATACAAAATTTGGCACAAATATTAGTTTGGTATACAAAAATTCTATTTCAAGATTTTTTCACGATCGGTCCATAACATGGGTGCGGTCGGTCCCATGCAAGTGTCCCTTCAGAAAATCACTTGAACACACATTACTTATTACTAAACTACGATATAGATACAAAATTTGACTGAAATATAGCTTTTATGTACAGAAATTTTGAAGATTTTTTTTACGATCGGTCTATAATTGGTCATATCTCCCATACTAGGTCCTGCCCTAAAAGCAATTTAACCGTATTTAACTAGTTGCATTATCAATTTGTGTAGAACAAAATTATATATATGTATTTTGAAAATCCTTAAATCTTTCACACACATGCATACATGCACATTATTAAATATCGTTAAAGCATATCTTAGGGCGCTATAAAAATATAAAAGAAAATGGGGTTTGTAATGTTCAATAAATCTTGGAATTGTAACAGATTTAAGCTGTTTAAATCTTGGGGTTTTTCTATTTAAGACATGAGAAAACTTATTTCTAAAAATATTTGATCAGTTAAAAAGTAGCTGGTGGAGAGTATTTAAGATTCGGCTCAGCCGAATATAGCACTCTAACTTGTTTTTGTTGTTATTATTTTATTGCAGAATATTGTTTAAGTTATTTTTAATTATATTAATTATTTATTAAAAAGTTCGCAATTGCGTTTCTTATTTCTTCAGACTTAGGGTTATAATCATAAGTGAAGTTTTCACAATTCGGCTGATCTCTGGTTGTTTCAATATTACAATGCCAGGTCTCATTAAATTTGATAAAATTATTTACGTTATCAATTACCGAGTCGCCGAAATCTTGATTTTAAATGGCCGAATGCATTTTCAACGACCCTACGAGATTATGATAAATTATAATTAAATATTTTTTGTTTCTATGATGCATTGACATGAAATGGATAAGGTTTCATCATGCATGCAGATAGTCGAAAAGCGGAATCGCATATTAATAAAACAGGAATTTCACACCATCAATTGCCTGTTGTTGAAATATTGGATTATATTAATGTGTAAGAATCGATATCTATAGTCAATAACAGCGAGCAAAACAATAGAGTACCACCTCTTGTAATTGAAATAATCACAAGCTTCTGAGGCAGGAGGATGAATCTCAAAATGGCATCCATCTATTTGGATAACGATCAAAGAAATAACGCAAAAAATTAACTGTAGAAACCCAATTGGATTGAAACCGTTCATACATTCCTTTATTTTAGTTTCTTTTATAAGAAGAAGATAAAGGGCTATAGCAATACGTTTTTGAAGTGGGATACAGATTCTAAATTTTGTATCAGTTTTGTTCATGGATGTAAACTTTAAACTAATAATATTTAGATATTATTACCTATACAGTGGTTAAAAGCCAAAGTCGTATATATGCTTGCATGTACCCATTTCATTCTGCTATTTAGCAATTGTGTGAGGTAATACATTTGCATTATATTTTGAAATCTTATATTCAACAAATGCAGACGTTTTTTTTTTTGCAATAAAATAACATTATTTTTGATTATATCGTATTAGGTCTTGATGAAAACAATACTAAATGTCCTATATTTTTCATTTTTGTTTAATAGTAAACTAAATTTGGAAATATAATTATTTTCATTTAAATTTCAGTCAGCTGTTTATACCCTACACCACTTTAGTGGGGAGGGTATATTGGATTCGTCCTAGACCCACCTTAAAGTATACCAATCGGCTTAGAATCGTTTTCTGAGTCGATTAAGCTATGTCCGTCCGTCCGTCTGGCTGGCTGTCCATGTAAACCTTGTGCGCAAGCTACAGGTCGCAATTTTCAAGATAATTGGATGAAATTTGGCACGCACGTTTTATTTGACCCAAGGACGAAGCCTATTGAAAATATTATGAGCTTCTGAGCTCATAATTATGTTAAATATACAGATATATCGATAAATTATGGCACAACTAAGTTTTATAGAAGTCTTGATAACCCTGCCAAATTTCATAAAGATCGGGCCCCATTTGACCCTAGCTCCCATACAAAGTCCCCTTCAGAAAATTACTTGAATGTCCCAAATTAACTTATAAACACAAATATCCCGATGAAATTCACCACAATAAAATATTATGTAAATATAAATATATTCGCAAAATTTTATCGGGCTTGGTCCATATTTGCCCCTAGCCCCCATATAAAGCCTCTTTCAGAAAATTAGTTTTTCATGAATAAATTGCTTAAATGTATCGGAACAAGGGAATATTGATGATAAATGTTTTATTATGAAAAATAAATCACATTTAATATTCATAACTGGTGTAGGGTATCATATGGTCGGCCACGCCCGACTATACTTTCTTACTTGTTTTGTTATTAAAATGAAATCTTGCTGCTATCAAATAAATGCAGTGTAAACGATCTTGATTTTGACCAAGATTTGAAATCTAATCTACTAGATTTCGCTGTAGTGTAAATAAGGTGTTAATGTAGTGTAAGATTATTAAGACATATTTCAATTTTATTTATTTTTTATTTATTACATTAGGATATTTTATAAAATCTATAATTTAATTTGTTCTGCAGATAAATTGATGAATTTTGTCAGAGATATAACTGTTGTGCCAGGATCAACATTATTAAAAAACGGTTCACAATTTCATATACCTCCCATACAAATTAACATATTCCCGGAAATTAATTTTTTGTTAATAACTTCCGTTATAATGCCGATATCTTTATAAATTTAAGTTTTATGTCAATAGAATTCATATAAAGAAACAATTTTCTAAATTGGTCCTTAATTGGTCATAGCTCCCATATAAAGTTTCCTTTCGGAAATCAATTATACGCACATAACTCATTACCATATAACGATATCCATACAAACATTAGCACAAATATTGCTTTTATCTACAGACATCTTACTTTAAATTTTTTCACGATCAGTCCACAATTGGTCAGAGCACAAACATTGCTTTTATATACAGAAATAATACTGTAAAATTTGTTTACGATCGGTCCGTAATTGGCCGTAGCTCCCATACAAGGTCCCATTTTGAGAATCACGCATATAATTAATTACCAAATAAAGATATCCATACAAATAGGCACAAATATTGCTTTTATCTACAGAAATCTTACTATAATTTTTTTCACGACCAGTCCATAATTGGTCATAGATCCCATACGTATATTACTAATTACTAAATAAAGATGTCCATAAAAAATTTGGCACAAATATTTATTGTTGAATTTTGTCAGACATATAGTTTGGGGATCCACTGTGTTGAAAATCGAAATAGGTCCACAATTTCTTGTACCAGCCATAGGGAGTAAAAAAATGATTATTTTTCGCAAAAAAAATTAAATAAAACAAACAGTATTCGAACTTAAAATCTCCGAGTTGCTAGTTCTACGTCATACCCACTATACTATTAACTAGCTTTGTAATCGTTTGCAACTAATGATGTTCGCATAGAAATTTTCTTCTCTTTTTGTGTAAAAAATTGTTGCTAACCCAAGATCAAATAAAATGTGAACATTGAGAAAGTGTAAACTGTTCAATTTTTTATGCTATTCAGCAACATCAGTGTTGATAAATGTTATTCAGCAGCAATGTACGTTGGAGTCTCCTTTAAGTAAACTTGGCATAAAGTAAATATTTAGAAATGATTTTTTTGATAAAAATTTAATATGCCTGGAAAGATAAGACTTTTTCTACATAACGCCATCATTAGTTTTCCCATTTTTATTGTGTAGGCCTTTAGATGATGCAGCAAAGTTTATGTTTTTATGTATATTTTTCTACAATTTTTTTATTCTTTAATACCATAACTTTTTTTGTACGAATCTACCATTTAATACAAATTTCTAAAAATTTTCTTTTTCTGTACCAAATATGTATGAAAAGGTGTTATTTTAAATCATCTTTACAGACAAAGATTTAAATATTAACGACTTTTTAAAATGCTATATTTTATAGATATTTATGTTTTTTTTTTAATTTTTAAAAGTGAAAAAGTACAATTTGGCCACTGATGGCCTCTAAGCGACCATATCCCAAACATACTCTCAATAACAACAAAATTAAAATGTTTGCCTCTTTTTGCCTCTATGGCATTTAGGCTCACTTTTCTAACACTCCATGATATGAAAATATTTACATTTTATTTAAAATTTAATTATTGAATGCGAAATGAATTGATTTAAATAATCTACTGATATTATATATAGTAAAATAATGACTGGACATGCTATTGATTGATGCTTTATTGGTCATTCTTGTAAATAGGTTTTGCAAGAATATTAGACGGAATCTGTTTGTAAAATATGTGTATATGCATATACACATACACATATAAACCACTTACATATTATCATGTTAGCGATTTTTAGTGACAAAATATAGAAAATAAAAGAGCTTTTCGTATAATTCCCTATCCCAAATCCTATATAACTGTAAACAGAACTTTCCCTAAAAAATCTCAAAAATCTTCCCAAAGATGCATTAAATTTAGTCTTCGCGAAAGTAATTAGGATATCTGTAAATGTAATAAAAATATTTCGTAAATAAAATTTTAAAAAATTTTGTTTTTAAATTTTTGCAAAAATATTGCATTTCTTTTTTTACTTCGTATCTAGAGGACTTCCATCGATACCCATAATTTATACCAAAACATTATAGCTTAGTTAATGCCAAGTTTTGTTCAGGGAGACCCCACTGTGGATCGTCTTAGAATTTAATAAGGACCCAGAATATATTTATATACTTTACGACCAATATTTCGATGTGTTACAAAAGGAGTGATAAAATCAATATACCTCCTATCTTTTTTGATGGCGGGAATAAAAATAATACAAAATATTTCCCAACTCTTCTTGTTCTATTGGCACCAAATTTGGCATTGTTTGATGAGTAGAAGTATTTTAAAATATTTTTTGGCAAAAATACTTCTTTAAAACATTGAAGTCCTTGAAAAGGGACACAGTAAATACCGATAAATTAAAAGATATGTAGATGTTGTATATATGGGAAGTTTTTCTTTTAGATTTTAAGAAATCAACTTTATGCATTAAATATTTCTTTCTGTGATATTTTGAAAATTATTTTTTTGGGAATATACATAACTCTAAATATGTGGATTGTGATAAGCAGGGAAACCAAAATGTTCAAAAGCATGTTTTTTATGGTGCGTGGTATTGACTCATGCTCATATACATATATTATTTACATCTTTAATGTCAATTCATCATAATTTTAAATGATTTCACTTTAGTAGCATATTTAAGGCATATTTTCGAGCTTTTAGAGCATATTTTACTTTATAAGTGCATATTTTAATGTTTTGTGATTTAAATGTTATTATTTTTTAAATTTTAATATTCTCAAAACTTTATTTATAAGATTTTTTTAAATTTTGAATAAAAATTCGCTTGTACAGTTTGAAAAAGGCAAAAAATACATTGAAATCCAATGTTATAGTTTTTTATTCGATAAAACATTAATTTCTAAAAATGGACATAAAACCGATAACCTTGAATTTCATTAGATCAATGAATTTTTGTCGTTTAAAAAACTAGTAACGATAACACACCAACGAAATTAAGCTTTATAAAAACTTTTGAAACCAATTCGTCTGATTTTAATGTATTTTTAGTTGAAGAAGAATCAAAAGAAGAAGACAATTGTAAAATTAATATGAAAATTAATGAAAACTTAAATTTAAAATCTTTTGAAGTTGCAAAATTTTTGTGGACTATAAGCGAATTAGGACTATAATCGAATTTCTTTTTAAGCCACTTTATGGACTATAACTGAACCCTGGTATAATACACATTTTGGATTATATACAAAGTACGTACTTTCTTCAATAAAACCACTTTTTTTAAACAAAATAAAAGTTTATTTAAAATATAATCAAATATTGATTTAAATATGTAAAATCAATAGTTTAAACAAAACCTTTACATATTATTATTATTTACTAGATTTGTGTACCCGGCGTTGCCCGGGGTTTTAAGTGGTTTCATAACATTATACTTAAATATTCCCCCGTCAGAGTAAACTAAAAAATCTGCTTTATGTCCATAGATCAATTTCTGAAATTTTTCAACATTCAGAAAGTACGTATTTCCGAAATAAAAAATGTTACTCATTTTACCCCTCAGTAAGAGATTACTTCACACATTTTTTTTTGCCAATTTATAAAGCTAAAAGATTCCAAAATTATAATTCTAATACTATCTAGTTAGGTAAAACTATAATATACATATTTAACATAGGAGAAAGAATAATTCTTGACTTAAAGCATAAAGTGATCATTTTTCACTAACTTCTTCATGTTTCGAAAAATGCTGCAGGTCTCCTTATGAAGAAACTCCTTACAATTTCTTTGTAATCTTTAAAAGCTTTAAAATAAATTTAATTGAATTTGAACAATATTTATAAAAGTATCAGTATCAAAAATACTACCATACCCTCTTTCTCCATTGAATTATTCAAATTTATGTATTTTGTTTAATATATTTTGTATCATTTCAGAAATCGATGTTGTAGAACATTTATTAAGATAATCACGTCAGAGAGGAACCTTTCCATCTTTAATGATGTTTTGTAAAAACATTTGTGAAAAACACATTTTTTGACCGATTACGGAAAAATATTAATAAAAAAGTATATATTTCTCAAATTTCATATAAGTACAAAAAATGCAGCAAAGGAACACATAATTAGCCGATTTTGCCCATTTTGTTTGAATTTCTTTTTCCTTCTTTTTACCCAAGTTTTGGAAAACAATGTAGCCTATCACACCATACACTTATATACCTAACTATGTTTCAAATTTAAAGAAAATCGTCTTTCAAGGACGAATTCTATTGAAAATGGTTTAAATCAGACCTTTATTTCGCATAGTCCTCCTACAATCGCACCCCTAAATATGGGGTTTGAGCTCATAAATATGTTAAATGTTCTTGTGTCACACCAAAAATCGGCAAAACTTAGTTTTATATAAGTTTTAATTACACTGCTGATTTTCGCAATGATCGGTCCTCATTTGATCACATCCCTCATATAAAGTCCCCTTCATAAAATGACTTGATGGTTCAAATTCACTTATAAACACTAATATTACAGCGATATTCTACACAAAAAACTTTATTGTAGACGTAAATCCCTTTACCACTTTACTTTCTTTATAGACGTAAATCCCATTACAAAAATTTATAAGGATAGTCCCATTTACCACCTACCCCCATAAAACCCTCTTTTAGAAAATACCTTTTTTGTCAATAAATTTTTAAAATATTTCTGAATTAAAAAAATGAATTTAAAATAATCAACATTTATAACATAATCACTGGTGTAGGGCATCATATGGTCGGCCATGCCCAACTATAAAGTTTTACTTGTTTATTCATTTGTTTTATTTATTCATTGAAGTAGTTTGAATTGTCTGAAAATATGCATTTATTGAGTCCCTTTACGCAGCAAATACAGATTTCCCTTTCTTACCCGTTTTTTCACCTAAGGCTGGGATTTCTAAATATATGTACATATGTCTGAGACTATCAAAATCATAGTTTACAATATTTTGGCTTCTGAATAGAAAAAAATCGTTCTTAAAGTACAAAAGTACTAATTTTGTCAGATTTTCGCCATTTGGCCTATTTTTTGTCCCATTCCGGTCCAATTTTCACAACGTCTCTTTGCTATTATATATTTCTAACAAATAAATTAGTTTAATCGAAAATGCCTTTGCTTAAGGATAGACAAAATCAGTATTTACTATCGAAAGTAATAATTTTGCTCGTTTTTTACCCATTTTACCCCCTTTTTGCACCCTCCTAGTCCAAGTTCCTATAACACTCTCCAAGTATAGATCTAACTATGTTCCAAATTTGAAGACAATCGGTCCAGCCGTTTAGGCGTGATTGACGAACAAACAAATAAACAAACGAACAGACTTACAAAGAGATTTATAATTGTTCAATTTACAATCGATGTTGTAGCGTTGTATGCGTCGTATGTCAGCAGCTGCTACAATAGTCATAACAATGTTGTTGGTATTTTCTATGCAGAAGCTCTATACAACTCCTACGACAATTTTTCATATGTTTTTCGAATGTTGTAAGAAAGTTTTGTGTTGACAATTGTTTATTTCAACATATAAACAAAAAATTCAAACGATTTTAGCATAAAAAACGATAAAGTGGTAACACTGAAATCAAAAACAAACAGCTGCTTACCAAAACAAAAAAAAAATAAAATTTTATTAAAAATAGTTTATTTATTAGTTTAAAATGTGGAATAAAAAAAATAAAAGAATTGAAAATTCAAAGAAATTAATTTGATCTATTTCGCAAGTTTAATTAATTTAATATTTTTTGATTTTTTTATACTTTCACATTGTAATGTATATTTGTTTTGATTTGATCATAAACTTATGACTTTCTGCAAAGATTTTTTCACAATCACTGTTACTACACTTTAGTAGGTACAATATACAACTTGATTGTGAATTGAACAAATATATATTAGGATTAACTGCTTTTTTCATTTCTAAATTTAAATGAATTATTTTTTTTTAAAGAAATTATATATTTACTTGAATGAACTTTTTTATACTTTTTTAATGCAAATACGTACTTTTATTCAAACGGCTTATCGATTTTCGTATAAGCATCATTGCCAGCTACCGGTTGATATATAATGTCCCCAATTTAAATTAGCGGCTTAGGTGTACTTCATCGATTTATGTTGTGAAAGAAATCCCGCGTATTCAGTCCACGAAAGACCTTGGTCAAAATTTTTTGATGCAAACTAATTCTTTCTATATAAAGATTGATTACTGATAAAATTCAGAATTTAAAACTTGTTTGTAATGCGGGAATTCGCTAAAGTACAAAATTAAAAATTTTAATTTTTTTGTATTCGCCCTAAAATCTTTGCATGGTAATATTTTATCGCGGCTTTATGATTTCAATATGTAAAATTTAAAAGTTTTTCGATTACGCGATATTTTGGGTATATTGAAGTTACGCTGTTAGTGTGCTTCGCGAAAAAGCCATTTTTTTCGAAACTTTCACGTTTGTTTTTCAAATTATTAAGCTTTTCCCGCAGTGATACCTTCTAGAGCACATTTTGGAGATATACATCAAACGACGCCTAATTACAATGTCTGCTTTTTCTCATTTATACATTTTGCATAACCGAAGAGCCGCAAATATTCTATCCAAAAAACTGCAAATTTTGTAAAATTGTATAAATTTGGTTTCAAAACATTGCGACCACGTAATTCTTTACTTATAAATGGCACAACAATTAAATATGGACTATAGTCATTCAACAAGTGTATACAGCTTATATTAGCAAACTTGACTTTATAAGTTGTAAACCGCCCTCATTATATCAAAAAGTTGTAAAAAAACTACTTGGTTTCAATCACATTTTTGAGAAATTTTAACTTTGAGTGTTTATTTCTCCAACATGGAACTACGATCGACCACAAAATTTTATGGACGTATTCTTTCTGGTCTTGTG